GCGCCCCCCCAGCCGATGTGGGCTGCAGAGCTCATGGTAGGGGCCATGGGGAGAATGCTGCTTCCACTGCAAAACTCATGAGGTGCGTGGGACACAATGGGGAGAACACTGCCACCTCTGTGAGCCTCATAAGTTATGGTGCTTGCAGTGGCAGCAGCATTCTCCCTACTGCTACCCATTGTGAGCCCCCCTCAACCAACAATTCTGTCCCTGCTGTGAGCTCAGCAGCCAACGAGGCTTGCAGCAATGATAAGATTCCCAGTGCTGTCCCTGCTGTGAGCCCTGCACCTTATGAGGCTCGCAGGCAGGGCAGCGTTCTCCTCCAGGAATGCTGCCACTACTGCAAGCCATGTCAGCTGCTGGGCTGGTAGTGGGTGGTGCACCCCTGTGGCTCAGCCCCTCAGTAGATGAGGCTCCCAGCCACATGGGAGCACCTGGCCATACATTCAAGTAATGGCATGAATAGAACAAGCTACAAAGTTATTACACATTTTTGTGGAACAACTTTGTAGCTTTTTCTTTGTTTAATTACACCATTAATTGGTTGAATGTGTAGTCGAATCACAACTTAAAGTATGATTAACTGGTTAATCAGACCTTAAGTGTAATGCATACAGGGGGTCTTAAAAACAGTATAGTCCAAAGGTTTCCTCAAAGAGCATTTAGAAATTGCAGTTTTGGAATACATTGAGCTCACAGCTAACTTTAACCATGTGAATAGTCTCACCAAAAAAAAAAAAAAAAAACCCCAGCAAAAAAACTAGATATCCCTTATTTTAATGGATCTTATCAGACTCTACTGAAACAGAAAGGGAACCTCCATGAGTTCACACCAAGTACTGCTAAAATTCACACAATAATTTTCTGAATTTTATCACTACAGAATTAATTTCTTACTAGGTCCCATCTACATTAACCAACAAAATCATCTGTCTACCCTTCTAGTAAACTGTTTCAAGGACGTCTGCTACCACAAAGGTGTTAAACTTGGTATCCTTCGCTAATTTAGACAAAAAGGTCAAGTTGACCTCTTGTGTCTGGGTGCGAGATTAAACTGTGAATTGTGTTTCAAGCAAAGTTTACTTAACTGAAAATAGAATTTGCTTCCAGAAAGTAACTTTACTTGCATATTATCAATTATAGGTACTTAAGATTATAACATTATAAAGTCTAGCTACATGTATTGTCTTGTGAACCACTCAAAATTGAAATGTTCCCAACTTCCAGTTAGTCTAACAATCTATCTAAATGTCCAGTTCTTGAGCAACTAACTTCTGCTGTCCATGTTGTTAACCAAAGTAACTAAACAGTTTCTCTTGTGCCATGTACATTATGAATTGTATCTTCTTTTTAGTGTATAAGACACCAAAACTATACTAAAAAAAAGCATAAGTTAAATAGAATGAAACTTTTTGAAACAACTGTTTGGTTCCCAGGCAACTGCACAGTCTAATATAGTTGGAAAACAGTTACAGAAAATAAGGCAAAACCAAGAGTAAACTTCTCACACTTTTATTTCCTTCAATCATAATATAAAAAGAAATACATATTTCATTCTATAATGTCAAGCAAGGATTTACAAAATCGATGCAAAACGTATTTGATTTAGAAGCACTTTAGAGGTGCTATATTACACTAAGATTATGGTTATTTGCCATTACCTTTATAGAGGCGTCAAAGATCCTGCACTTTTACTTCCAGCAAGTATAAGAACCATTCTCTGTTTCCTACTCAGCTTTCTTTTTTATGTAAAGTATCTGGATACTTGTGTGTATGAAATTACCAAACAACTGTTTTTGACCATTTACCTTAATGTGTGTGTTAACTCACTCTTTAGTGAAAGTCTGAACTCGGTTTATCCTCTTCTGACCCCAGGATATGGCCAACTGCCCTTCTTTTCTTCTCCCTTCGTGGCTGGAGTAGGAAAGCAGGCTACCCCATTCATTTTCCCCTCAGAGTTGTCTATTCCCAACATTCACTTACATATGTATAAAGATACCTGTGAAATAACCATCTTAATATAGCACTTTTAAAGCGCTTCTAAAACAAATGCATTGTGGGTTGATTTTGTAAATCCTTGCTTAACGTCATAGAATGAAATATGTATTTAAAGTTGTTATGACTGAAGGCAATAATATATTCTATTCCTTACCCATCTCATATCCTAATTTATTATCAACTAAAAGCACACCTCCCAAATCAGGGCACATTCTCCTCCAGTTGCTTTTTGCTGAAGAAGCAGAAGGCTGACATTTCCCTGACTCCTCATAGTTTCCCACCCAGTTAGCTACACAGTAGTTTCCATCACCTCCACACACTCGTCATGAGATGACTTAGATGGACGCATGTAACACTTAGCCCAATTTAACTGCATTTAAACATGAAACAGATATACAAACCCACTAAACCAGTTTCAAGCTGTCCAGAAAATTTCAATATAAATGGAAAATCAGGTATTCTTTTGAACCATTTCACTGTTACAAGTGGACACCAAGCATTCCATGGGCATCTCACACTTCATCACTCATTTCCCACTCCACACATTCAAAAAGTGTGACTTTGAGCCCCCAAAATTATTAAATAAAGACAAAAAACCAGAAAGACAGGACTCATTATAGGTTAAAGGATAAGTCTTGCTGACTGGTCCGTCTTGTGATTTGTGAACTCTCTCTGGAAATTCACAATATGCGAGAGACCACTATAGATGCACACAAGAATACTCGTGACGCTGGCTCTCTTGCGCAACTACATGGATTCGTCTCAGAGAAAAAAAGTCACAGCCCATCACATTAGAATCTGACAAAGTAGGTTGTTGCCTATGAAAGATCATACCTTTGAACCAGCTGGTTTCTAAAGCTGCCGCCCTGCCCTACCTTCTGCCAGTCCGTCATATTGTGAAACCTTCCTGCACAAAGCACACGTAAGCGAACACTACAAATGCTCAGTAAAACTTTAAAACAATGACATTTAGCATGCAGCAAAACCCATAAGGAGAGATGCAAAAGGCAGGCACTGAACAGATGTTTCACCTCCTAGGAATTGTATTATAATAAATCAGGGCACAAGCTAGGGTCCACAACTCATGAAAAGCAAGACAGACTCATCTTCTCATCTACTCAAATCAGATTTTTTTTAAATTGTTATAGCCTGGGCCGTGGGTTCAACAGCCCAACCACAGAAATGCCTAGGAATGGCATTTCTCAGGCAACGAAACAATGTCTCACTTCAGCCCATATTTGCAGGGGGCATAGGTGTCTTTTGGGGCCCAGATCCCATTTCACAACTGAGAATCTTAACGGAAGGCTGCTACCTAGCAGCAGGCCGCAGGCCATGCCTCTGCTACTAGCAGATAACATGATGCGAGAGGCTAAACCCAGGCTGCAAGTGCAATGGAGGCAGTGTTGCCAGGTGTACAATAATTATCATATTTGTAAGATATTTTCCACCCTTGTATGATGTACAACCAATAACAGTAAAAGTGCTCAACATGTGTGATAATTTTGGAGGCAACAAATTGATGCAGCATAAGCAAAACCTAAGTCACTCTCAGGGAGTCTTAACTGACTTTTGGAGGGGGTTTTTTTGGAAAATTTTTCATATTCCAGGTCATATTAGCCAATCAGTCCCAAATCCTTTCCATTGAGCAAAACTCAATCATTCAAACACCATATGCGGTACTATAACCAGCAAGTATCCTCCACCCCAGGCTTTTAAGCGAGGGTTTCAGATACTCCCAAACTTATTGGTGCGCACCTACGTGCAAGGCCCAGAGGCATGGGTTTCAGACGCTCACGAGTCTCACTTGCCCTTAGCCAACAGTCACAGGAACAAGTTGGGGAGGAATCCCCCATTTCCACAAAGTCAGTGTGTAGCTGAGATCCTCCCACTGGAAAGCTAACTATGAGGCTCTCATCAAAAGCCCTGTCTGCAAGCAGACAAGGGTTTAACCCTCCACTACAGGGTGCCATTTTAATTGCATGACCTCGATTAGGGTATTTCCCCTGCCCTGGGAAAACCACCTTCTAGATCATGACATCTCCCCTGCCATCTAAGTATCGTGTAGCCATCTCAGTCTGGGTGGCAGACCTCCAACTCAGCCCGCAAGAGGCAAAGAAACAGGTCTACCCTGATCAGCATTTTCTTATGCCTGCTTGCCTCGAAATAAAGAAGCTCCCACGTTGATGCCGCAGTTCTCACTGGCGAGTTACAGCGAGCGATCTCAAGTAAATACTGAAGAAAAAGACTTATTCGCATCCTTGCTCAGTGGACGACAGTTTAGCGGCACACGCGAACATTTCGACCTTCCAAGACGATCGTCTCCTATTTAAGACCTGGCCGGGCGGAGCAGGGCGTGACGAAGCGACAGCAGCGCGCGGGGCGGCCCGGG